TCATAATAAAAACATATAATATATAGATTAAAAAAAAAAAAAAAATTATTGTAATATTATATATGTAATTAAATATAAAAAATTGTATAAAAATATTATATAAAGGATAAGAATATACAAAATTATAAATAAATAAAAAAAATAAAAAAATATTAAATATTGAATAAAGGTTTACAAAATAGTAAAATATTTTTAAAATAAAGATTAAAATTTCATAAAGAAAATAAATAAAATAAATTTTATTTTTTATTATTATTATTATATTATATTATATTATATTATATTATATTATAAAAAAAAAAAAAATTAAATTAATTTTTTTTCACTTATATTATTATTATTTTATTATAATTTTTTTTTATATTTTTTAATTTCATTTTTTTATTCTAAATTCTTTATTTATTAATTTTTTTTTTTATTATAAAATTATAAATAGAATAAACTAAATATAAAAAAAAGCTTAATAAATATCGCCTTTATATTATTAATTTTATTTATATTATTTTAAAATAATTGTAAAAAATCGTATATTATATTTATCATTAAATTTAAATAATTTCATCTAATTCAGTACTTAATTCATTAGTAAAATTAAAATAATCCAAAACATTTTTTATTTTACTTAAAATAAGTTTTTTATCATATTTATAATTTTATTAAAATTAAAATTCATAACTATTTTAATCAACAAAAATATCTATATAAAATTGCCTTATTTTATTAAATTCTCTAATATCACATAATTTCCTAACATAATTTTATAATAAATCACAATATGTATCGAAATTTTTCTTCTCATCATATTTCATAAAATAGAGTAGTCTTTCTTCATATTTACATACTTATAAATTATCTTTTCTATTAATTATGTCTGCTTGTTAAGGAGTCATTTCTATTAATTTTTCAAAAAAATAACCAAATTATTAATCAACTCCTGATTATATTTTCTATTATTCATTTGAGAAGTTTTAATTTATTAAAAAACCTTAATTTTTTATTTTATAAATATATAAAAAAATATAAAATAAATATTTCAAAAATACCTATATCCAAACTAAAATTATCTACTTTAAACCATGATCTAAAGTTTTTAGAAAAAGCAAAGACTTTTTTATTTTTGAGAAAAATAAGAGGGTTTCCATCATTATTAAGTGTTAAATTTTCAATAACATCAGAAGGAATATCTTTCTCATTTTATATAAAAGTAAATTATTAAAATAATATATTTTAAATATTTTCAATTAAAAGAAGTTCTTATTTATTTAAATCATAAATTTTTAAATCACAATTAGTAAAGATACAAATCATTTAGTTTATATTTTAATTTATTTTCAAAAAACAAATATTTGGTAAATATAAAGGAAGTTCACATCTGCGACCGTTTGCTAAATTTATAAAATATATTAAACTTTAGCATGTATAACATATTATTCTTGTATTGTTTATGTTTTCAATTATTTGCAATTTTCCTTCTAGCATATCTGACCATAAAATTTCCTTTTAATTATTGCTTTTTAATATTGAACATTTTATATTCACATTTGCTCCTTACTATTCGATTTCAAGAAATTTGGCTTCAGTTGTGCTTATTCTAATTGTAAATATTTAGGGTAATGTGCTTTATAATTATAATTTAATTTATGAATTTATTTATTATTATTAATGTTATAATTAATTTTATTATTTTTTTACTTATGGATATTATTAAAATAAAAACTATTATTATTAATTAGATAATTACTATTATTATTAAGATTATTATTATAATTAAGTTTACATTTATTATTAAGAAAATTATTATAATTAAGGTTATTATTAAATTTAATTTAATTTTTGTTAAGTTTATTATTAAAATTCATTTTATTATTCTAATTAAGGTTATTGTAATACTTATGGTTACTATTGTAATTGAAGCTATTATTATACTTAAGACTATTATTCTATTTAATTATGTTATAAATTTATATCATGATTTTTTAAATTTGAAGTATTCTCTTATTATATTTACTATTAAATTTTAAAAAATTCTTAAGTTTATTATTATTGTTATTGCTATTGTTATTATTATTGTTATTATTATTGTTATTATTATTATTATTATTATTATTAATCATTATTTTATTCATAATTCGTATTATTTGTAAATTATTAAATATTATCAGATAATTTGAAATTATTAAAGACTATTATTTTTTCTTCTTCCTGATTTTCTCTTAATATTATTTATTTTTTCGGAATAATTCTTTTTACTCCTCCTTCAATTATAACTTATTATTAAGTATATGTAATATTTATTTTTTCAACTTAAGGAATTTACACTTCTTATATTTTTTTAAATTTTTTCAATTAATTCTTTATTCATTTCAGTATTCATGTTAATATTTATTTTACCTTCTTCTTCTTTTTCCTCTTCCATTGTATTTTTATTAGCCTTGAAAACTTTAAACTTGACATTATTTGAAGAAAATGTTCTTAAAGACCCGTATTATCCTTCTAAATATTCTTATTTTTCCTTTAAAGTAAGTTACTTTCCGAATACAGATTCACTGAAAAGTGCTACGAAAACATATTTCTTTAAAGTTGAGGCTATAAGCATATTTCCTTATGCATTCCAACATATATCTTCAATTAATTCATTACCATTAGGGTGTGATTTAAATAAAAAAAAAGGTTTTTTAGCAACAAAACCCTCACCTAAACCCCAAATAGATATATTTCCATCATTATCACCTTAAGCAAAAATATTAATTACACATTTTTTATACTCAAATAAATTGGGATTAAATTTAACACAATTAATAGAAGAAAATGGACCCATAAATGTCTTACAAATTTTAAAATCGTAATGTCTATCAAGTGCGCAGGCAAAAGGTACTATTTTATCATCAAGGCTAGGAACTAAAACATATCTTTATATAGCAAATTAAAAATATAAAAATAAAATGCAAATTAATAAAAATAATTTATTTTAAATATAAAAAATTAAAAATAAATATATAAATGTATAAATATATAAATAAATAAATAAATATATAAATATATATATATATATATATATATATATATACCTATAATCTGGTGACCAATCAATTTTTCTATCTTCCCTTTTTGAAGATATTTTTTAACAATTATTAGAAATAGGACATGTTAGTGAAATTATATAAGATTTTTCCCATGAATTACATTTCCATATTATTACATTATTATCTGAATATAATGCTGCCAAATATTTATCATAAGTGTCCCATACTAGTCCTAATATTTTATTATCATGTGTCAATTCTTTTATTTTTTATGTTTGTTTTTTTATTATCAATTGTTCTTATTACAATTTTGCCATCTAAACTACCTGATGCTATTTTCGAAGAATCTGGCGACCAACTTATTGTTGTTATTTCTAGTTCATGGTCCTTAAATTCTTAATATTTGTATAAATCTTCACTTTAATATTACCATATTACTAATTTTTCGAAAGCTGAGGCTAAGTATTAATCGTTTGGACTCCATTAAATTAAATTTGCCGATAATCTTTGGACACTTTTTATGTTTATTGGCTTAAAATTTACTTTTATTTAATCAGTTTCTTCCTAATAATTGGATGATATTTATGCCTTTACTAATTTTAATTGGTCATTTTCTGTTCCACTGCAAAATACCATTACTTCCCCTTAACGCTGAAAATTTAACGATTTTATTATTTCATCATGGAATGGAAATATTTCATATTTTAATGAGACATTATAGTTCATGATTTTTTTAAATATGAAAATATTTTTTTTATATATAAAAATTTATTATAAAATTATAATATTTAAAATATATATTTATTTTAATTTTTTTTATTATTTATTAAAATAACAAAAAGGAAAATCTTTTTATTTATTAAAATTGATTTTTTTATTTAGAAAAATTTTAATAAAATAAATATATTATTTGTATTTTTAAATTAAAAATAATGTTTTATTTTTTTCGAATTAATTTAAAAATTATATATAAAAAAATTAATTTAACTAGTAGTAAATTAAAAAAAATTATAACTATTAATATAAATTTTACAAATTTTTAAGTATTTTTTTAAAAAAAAATATTTAATTATAAACATAAAATATATTAAAACTAAATAAAATAATTAAAAAAATTTATATTAATATAAAATATAATTATTTTATAAATTTTAAATTATTTTATATTATAAATATTATATATATTAATTTATATTTATATATATTTTTTTTTAATTATATTTTTATATAAAATTTATATATATATTAAATTATTTAATTAAAATTTAATATTTTAATTTTTATAGAAATTTTTTTTTAAGAAATATACTTTTAAATAAATTATAAATATATAGATATATTTTTTAAAATAATAGCAATAAAAATAAAAAAATTTATTTAATATTTATATAAAAGTAATATTAATTTAAAATAATCAAACTTTTATTTATTAATTAATATGTAAAATAAATTTAGCATAAATATTTTTAAAATTAACATATATACAATAATAAATATAAAAAATTTAAATTAAGTAATTTTTATATAATTAAAAAAAATGAAATTTCTTAATTTTTTTAATTTGTTATTAAAACAAAAAATAAATATAAGATAAAAGCTCTATAAAAATAATTGAAATTCATATTATAATATTAAAATAATATAGAATTATAAAATTAAATAAAAGAAATTAAAATGAAAAAAAACTTATTATAAAAATATTAATATTAAATATAAAAATTAATTATTAAATATAAGTAAATATTATTACATATATATCAATTTAAAATGAAATATTTTTTATAAAATAAATATAAAAATAAAAAATTAAAAAATATATAAATATTTATATTATAAAAATATTCGAAAAAAATAAAAAAAAATTATATAAAAGAAACAAAAAAAATATATTAATACAATAATAATATAAATAATTTTTTAATTTAATA